ATCAAACCAGACATGGGGCCATTCAAGATGCAACCTTATAGGCACTTATATTCAAAGGAGGGAAATTGAGAAAATGGTGGAGGAAATGTTAAAGAGTGGTATCATTCAATATAGCACCAGATCTTTTTCTTCTCTTGTTCTTTTAGTCAAGAAAAAAGATGGCACATGGAGATTCTGCATTGACTACAGAAAATTAAACTCCATCACTGTCAAGGATGGATATCTCATTCCCATTATAGATGATCTACTTGATGAACTGCAAGGTGCTAAGATTTTCTCTAAGATTGATCTCAGAGCTGGCTATCACCAAATTAGGGTGAAACAAGAAGATATTCACAAGACTGCATTTGTTACAGCTTCTGGCCATTATGAGTTTAAGGTCATGCCTTTTGGATTGACTAATGCACCTGCCACATTTCAATCTCTTATGAATGAGATCTTTAGAACTCATTTGAGAGAGTTTATTCTGGTTTTCTTTGATGATATCCTGGTGTATAGTAAGGATATGGAAAACTCACATCCAGCACCTCCACACTACAATGGCCATTTTGAGACAGCATCGGCTTTATGCTAAGTCATCTAAGTGTAACTTTGGGCAGCACCAAATTGATTATCTAGGACATATTATCACTGTTGAGGGAGTAGGTGTTGATCCCAGTAAGATTAGTGGAGTAAAAGAATGGCCTCAACCTACCAATGTCAAGGCTCTGAGGGGGTTCCTTGGCTTGACTGAATACTATAGAAAATTTGTCAAACACTATGGCATTATTGCAAAACCACTGACTGATCTCTTGAGGAAGGGGCAGTTTGAGTGGAGTGTGGAAGCTACTTTAGCCTTCGAGAAGTTGAAATAGGCTATGTCCACCACTCATGTACTGCAGCTACCTGATTTCTCTAAAGTATTCATTGTTGAGACAGATGCTTGTGATACAGGTATTAGAGTTGTTCTTATGCAGGATGGACATCCTTTGGCTTTTCTCAGCAAAGCCTTAGGTCCTAAGAGTTTGGGGATCTCTGTGTATGAAAAGGAATTCTTGGCAATCCTTTTGGCTGTTCAAAAGTGGAGAGATTACTTGGCACACCACTTTTATTATTAGAACTGGTCCAAGAAGCCTCAAGTATTTGCTTGAACAGAAGATTTCCACCCCTATTCAACTGAAGTATCTGGCTAAACTACTTGGATTTAGTTACAGAATAGAGTATAAAAAAGGGTTATGAGAATCGAGCTGCTGATGCCTTATCCAGAAGAGATGCGGATAGTCATTCCCTTGATGTGCCTGACTTCTCTCTTAGCATGATCACTGCAATGCAGCCATTATGGCTTGAAGAGGTCCAAGCTAGTTATGAGGGGGATGAAGTGGCTCAAGAAGTTATAGCCAGCCAAGCCTTGAGACCAATGGATGTGTCTGAGTTTCAGTACATTGATGGATTATTGAAGTGGAAGGGTAAGATATATGTAGGGTCTCATAGATCCTTAAGGTTGCAGATTATTGAGTTGATGCGTGGATCTAGCTTAGGGGGTCATTCTGTGGTCCAAAATACTTTGAAGAGGGTGCAATGGGTGTTCTTATGGCCTCACATGAGGAATGAAGTGAAACAAATGGTGAGTATGTGTGGCACTTGCCAGATTAATAAACATGAAACTAGTAGAATTCCTGGACTTCTTCAACCATTACATGTGCCTTCTCAAGCTTGGTCCTACATTACAATGGATTTATTGAGAAACTACCACTGTCTAAGGGCAAGGACACGATTTCGGTAGTGGTGGATCGATTTACCAAATATAGTCACTTCATAAGCCTCAGTCATCATTTCACTGCATCATCATTGGCTCAAATCTTTATGGAGACAATTTATAAGTTGCATGGATTACCAACTTGTATGGTGTCAGATAGAGACAAGATCTTCACTAGTACATTTTGGAAGGAGTTGTTCAAAGCTCTAGGGGTGCAGCAACAGCTGAGCACTGCATATCACCCTCAAACTGATGGTCAGAGTGAAAGGGTGAATCAGTGTTTGGAAAATTACTTAAGATGCATGTGTGGTTTCCTAGGCAATGGAGTTCGTGGTTGGCCCTAGCAGAATGGTGGTACAATACCAGCCATCATTCATCTATCCAAATGTCACCCTTCCAAGCACTCTATGGATATCAACCCCCACAAGTAGGGTTTGGTCCATGGTTGGAGGTCAAGGCTTCAGGAGTGGAGCAATGGTTGAAGGACCATACTAAACTAACTCACCAACTTAAGGAGTTGCTGCAATCGGCCAGAGAGAGAATGAAGGTACAAGCTGATAAAAATAGAGGAGTGAGGGAGTTTGAGATATATAGGAGATTGAGTTTATTTGAAACTCAAGCTCTACAAACAATTGAGTCTCAAGAAGAGCCCTATCTAGAAGATGATGCCTAAATATTGTGGTCCATTTGAGGTAATTGCCAAGATATGGGAGGTTGCATATGAGTTGAGGTTGCCTCAATAAGCCAAAGTACACCCGGTATTTCATGTGTCATTGTTAAAGAAACATGTAGGACCAAAGGACAAGGTGGCAGCAGATATGCCTCCCTTAACCGAGTCTGGAGAGCTCATTATGGTGCCTTAGAAGATCCTCGGCCGGCGCATGGTGAAAATGAACCAATACCGCCGTGGGTCAGATGCTAGTTCAATGGGCCCACTTACCGGAGGAGGAGGCAACATGGGAAGATGAGGCAGAAATGTCGAGGAAATTTCCTACGTTCCAAACATGAGGTCATGTTTGTTCATAAGGAGGAAGGATTGTAACGGTATTAACGGAATAAACGTGAAACGGCGTTGTATTGGGAAGAGTCGTGAATCACTTAAAGAAACGCGTAAAGGAAAACACGAGGAAGAGAGTTTATAGTTGCTACACGTGTCGAGGCAGTTAGTTGCTAATTGCAGCTGCGATAGTTAGTTTGTCTATAAATAGAAGTTTAGGCATTTTAAGGGTTTTTTTTTTCAAATATCGAGAGAGAAAATCTCTTCTCTGCAATTCACCTTAACAGAACATCAATAATATTTGGTTTTGGGGATTGAGTTCTTAACACCAATGCCCAGCCCTACCTATAATGAACATTTTTTATTTGATGGGAATTCCGGATCGAAGAAGAGGCAGATCCAAATATGGTGCGGAAAAACCCAAATCGAGATGAATGGAAGATGCCTCTGGAACTTGTTTTTCTCGGTCAGTATAAGGAAAGTTTCTCTAGCTCAGGTACGGGCGACTCAGCACATGTACTCGACTGAATATGCAGCCACGGAACTGCTAAATCCCTCGTGAGACTCCAGTTCCGGTCAATCGTGTTGGCCTTCATCACCGCTGCTTTGGCGATCCGACTGAACGAATGCGTTGACGCGACTTGTGAAACAAGGAGCTTTCCGCAATGAATAAAATCTATGAATCCACAGTGGGACGTTAATTCTCAATTCAAAGTGGACGTTTGGGTCAAAGCCTAGACCAAAAGTGCCTCGTAGGGAGAATAATCGGGTAGCGAATCCCATCCTCAGCTAAACCAGGGTGGTAGCTTAATCGAAGAAGTTGAGCTTGTGCCCAAGCCCACCATTTTCTAAAATCTCAACGTGGGATAGAGGAGGTTTGGAACACTCATCTTAACACGAATACCCAGCCCTACCTATATAATGAACATTTTTTTCGTGTTTCTTGGTTTGAACATTTATTTATTTTATTCAGTCTCACATTTTTTATTCAATTCAAATTATAGACAATAATTTATTCAACCAAGCTAAATATAAATGTCTAACAAAGATGCACAATTTTTTTTGAAACATAATGAAACTTTGTTTTTAACATTTTATTTTCCCAAGCTTATAGTAATTGACTAATTAGATCTAAATTTTAAATGTTAACTGTCGTTTGTTTCTTTTTCATTTCCCCTACATCAAAACTTACTAACTCAATAAAATAAAATAAACTCAAGAAGTCAAAATATTAAAAATATTTAAACTATTTTTTCACGTGTTAAAATGCGACGTAGTAGCACGACCACTACTCGTCTCCTACTTCGATAAAACCAAGAATCGATAGAGAAAAATGAAAAGGTTATGTACGAATCCTCCAGGTGTAATTCATGGCAATTAAAAGATGGAACCATTAAAATGATGTAAATCATGCAAAATATGAATAAGATTTTATGAAACATCAGAATAAATAATTTAAGCAAGAAGATGATTAAAACATAAGAAATGAGAAATGTAGAAGAATAAATTGAGAGGCTGATATACCTAATTGGGCCGACCATGATACACCTAATTGGGCCGACCATGATATACCTAATTGGGCCGACCCAATGGGCCCCAATTTATCTAATAATCAGGCCCGTTACACGAAAGCTCAATCATCTACAATTGGGCCCACTACACGAAAGCCCAAGCACCTTCAATGTAAGGCTTGGGCCCAACCAAACAAGCCCAACCCAACCAACGACATATAAATACATGTTTTACTCATTTGTTAAGGTACGTTTTGATTATTCACCAGCAATCTAGAGTTTAATTCTCTCTACCATCTCCACGATCCGTATATCTGACTTGAGCGTCGGAGGGGTTTCCGCCGGATCAACCCCCGGCTTAGTTCATGTGTGTTCATTTCGCAGGGACCTCATATCATCAAGTTGTCAAGCTATTGATCTGCTTTGCTCTCCCAGCTCATTTTCTACACTATCCTAGGTGATCTACATTTTAGCATCATCATTTTGGCGCCGTTTCAAAAATGACACAGCTAATAACCTCTCAGTCCGTGGAGGATCTAGCTTGCCACCTCCTCCACGTGCCGCGGAGCCACCTCCTCCACGTACCACGGATCCACCTCGCAAGGTTCAGGTGATCCCTCATCGGGACCCACCACTCGCCGATCCACCACCCCCTGCTCCTCGAACGGTTCAAATAACCAAGGACGCGCTCCAACGCATGATAGCGGAAGCCTCAACTCGCGCCGCCACAGAGGCCGTGACCCAATATATCGCCACGATGGGAGCAAATACTCCCAATGCGATACCAGCATCAGCTCCACCTATGGTGCCACCTGTGGCACCACCACCAATCCAGAATCAAATAAGTGTCTCATCCTCCACATCGGACCCACGGTCCCGAGTACAGCTATCCACGAATCACAGGGGTGCACAGCCCAGACAGCAACGTCAACGCTCTCCCCCACGGGGGAATGCGTCTCCACAGAGAGTCCTTCTCTTTAATGAAGGAGAAAGCGAGGTAAACAGCAGAATGTCTCGCCATCTACTGAACAATCCAATTGGCGAAAGAATACCCGTCCCAGCAAGACGCAGTCCTTTCACCATAGACATCCTCAACGAGGTATTACCTCAAGGAGTGAAGATCTCGGGGTTACCTCAATTTGAAGGGACCACCGACCCACGGGAGCATATTGAGAAATTCAACGCCATGGAGGACTTATATGGCCCAACGGATGCTGCGATGTGCAAAATGTTCCGCACCACTCTCTCCAAGAGAGCAATGAATTGGTTCAACTCTCTACCCATAGGATCGATTGACACCTTCGCTCGGCTGTCAACATGGTTTACCAACCAATTCGCCATCAACAAGCAGTATGCCAAGACCCCAGCCTACCTTTTCTTTGTAGTACAGAGAGATAACGAAACGCTCCGCAATTACTTCAAGCGTTTTGTAGAAGCCGTTCATGAAGTTCCCAGTGTAGGGCAAGACATGCTCTCCGGGATTATGCAACAGAACTTGAAGCCGGGTAGATTCAAAGAATCTATCGCCGGAAGGCCCCCAGGCAACCTAGAGGAGTTGCTGAATCGAGCCAAAAAATACGTCCGGATAGAGGAAGCCTCTACCCATGCTCCTCCTAAAAGGAAAAGGGAAGATGACCGTCAGGACAATAGGAGGCGGGACGATCGACGTCCACCACTTCCACCTCAAGGTCAACCATCTTCCTCCTACAATAGGTTCACTCCGCTAAACACTCGCCTCACTAAAATCCTTCACGTGATAGAGCAAAAAGGTTTAGCAGAGCCTCCACGTCCTATGCAGCCAAATGCAAAGCGAGAAAAGTCGGATCGCTACTGTCGATTCAATAAGGATAGAGGACATACTACAGAGGAATGTGCACAACTCAAAGTGGCGATTGAGAGGCTGATCAAGCAAGGCCACTTAGGCGAATACATTGATAAGTCTCGAAATAAGCGGCGTGATGATCTCCCACGCCGAGATAACAATCGAGATCAACAGCAACGACGAGAGGAGGGGGGTCATCGACGAGACCCAGATAACAATGATAACCAACCTACCCGGGGAATCATCTCCTTTATCTCCGGAGGACCAGCAGGTGGCGACTCACAAAGTGCAAGACGCACCCTCGCTCGGTCAGCACGTATGAGTCAAGAACGTGCTTCTCCATCCGCACGTATCTATCAAATATGAAGACCTGATCATAGCATAGTCTTCAACTCCTCAGACCTTGAAGGTCGAGATGAAGATCATGTCGATGCGTTGGTAGTAACAACAACGGTGGCCAACTTCTTGGTTAAGAAGATATTAGTGGACGGTGGGAGCTCAGCTGACATCATGTACCTCCACGCTTTTAAGCAGCTGGGCATAGATAATGCCCGGTTTAGTCCCATCTCCACACCCCTGAAAGGATTCACACGAGAGGGCATTATGTCCATGGGAGAAGTGGAGCTGCCCGTCTCTTTAGGGGAAGACCCTTGTCGAATCACCAAACTAATCAAATTCCTCATCGTCGACAAGCCATCCCCCTACAATATCATCCTAGGAAGGTCAGCAATCCATACATTCAAGTCAATACCTTCCTCCTACCATCAGAAGTGGAAATTCCCCACTCCCTATGGAATGGGGGAAGTACTCGGAGATAGACGTCTCGCCCGAGAGTGCTATGCGAGGGCCCTCCGAGAACCTTCCAAGAAGCCTAAACCGTCCGGAAATGGAGATGACACTCAAAAATCCGACAAACGGAAGTGGGTCAACGCGATTATTGATGATGATAAAGAAATCCTTATCAGTGTACCAGACGACAGCATCAAGCTAGCAGCCGTCGAAGAGCTTAAGCTCATAGAGCTCACACCCGGAGATAATTCCAAGCTCATACGAATCGGATCCGATCTAGATCCGAAGACAGAACAACAGTTAATCAACTTCCTATGACACAATGGAGATGTGTTCGCATGGAAAGCCCAAGATTTGTCAGGCATTCCCCCTCAGGTAGCTCTGCATCGGCTCAACGTCGACAAAAGGTTGAAGCCATTCAAACAAAGCAAACGAACATTTGGTCCCGAACGCAACAAGCATATCAAAGCGGAAGTAGCAAAACTCCTTGAGGCGGGTCATATACGACCAGTTCAGTATCCTGAATGGCTATCGAACGTATTACTCGTTCCCAAACCGGGTGGCAAGTGGAGATTATGCGTAGACTTCACTTCACTGACCTCAACAAAGCTTGTCCTAAGGACCCATTTCCTCTACCTAGCTAGAATCGATCAACTCATCGATTCGACCTCGGGGTGCGAGCTCCTCAGCTTCCTCGATGCATACCAAGGGTATAACCAGATCTTACTTGCACCAGACGATCAAGAGAGGGCTAGTTTCATCACTGACCAAGGCATCTACTACTATCAAGTCATGCCCTTCGGGTTAAAAAACGCAGGAGCCACCTACCAACGTCTAGTGAACACAATGTTCGCAGATCAGATCGGTAAAAATATGGAGGTGTTCATCGACGACATGCTCGTCAAAAGTGTCAAGGTCTCGGACCACCTAACCGATTTAGATCAGTGTTTCGCCACCCTGCGAAAATATAAAATGAAACTCAACCCCCTCAAATGTTCATTCGGAGTTCGGGGTGGCAAATTTTTGGGATACATGATTTCGCAGCGGGGAATCGAAGCTAATCCCGCGAAAATCGAAGCAATTACCTCCATGCCTCCACCAACATCTATCAAGAAAGTCCAACAGTTTAACGACTGTTTGGCATCTTTGAATAGATTCATTTCAAGATCAGCAGACAAGGCCCTCCCCTTCTTCAAGATTTTAAGGGGAGGAAAGAAATTTGAATGGGATGAAGCATGTCAAAAGGCGTTCATTGAGCTGAAGTCGTATCTTGCATCCCCACCCTTGCTCACAAAACCTCAGCCCGGAGACACCCTCCTACTGTACTTAGCTACCTCAGCTGATGCCATCAGCGCAGTCCTAATCCGAGATGGAGGAAAAGGGCACCAACCCATATACTACATAAGTCGCGCCCTCCAAGGAGCCGAACAACGCTATACCAATATGGAGAAGCTCGCCCTCGCCCTCATCAACACAGCTCGGAAGCTTCGACCTTACTTCCCATCACATCAAGTGGTGGTTCTCACCAATTATCCTCTGAAGCAGATACTAAGGAGTCCCGAGACGTCCGGGCGATTAGCTAAATGGGCGATAGAGCTAAGTGAATATGGGGTAGAATTCAAACCCCGCCCCGCTATCAAAGCGCAAGTATTGGCTGATTTTCTAGTCGAAATGACCTCAGTAGAAGAAAGCACCTCTCTACCTACTTGGTCTGTCAGCGTTGATGGATCTTCCACAGCCACCGGAGGGGGAGCAGGTATCGTACTAACGAACCCCGACGGGGATGAATTCGAGTATGCTCAACGATTCAAATTCACAGCCTCAAACAACGTTGCAGAATATGAAGCATTGATAGCAGGAATCCGCCTCGCCCTAGCTGCCGGAGCCCGTAAGCTCCTAATCCAAAGCGACTCTCAGCTCGTCGTCAACCAAGTACTCGGAGCTTACGAGGACAAAGAAGACACCATGGCCAAATACTTAGCTCTCGCGCACACTCTGTTATCTAAATTCGAGGGCTACGAGATAAGACAAGTACCTCGATCCAGTAACATCCATGCTGACAAATTAGCTAGGCTTGGAAGCTCCATGGCAGGCATCGGAAGTCGGAAGGTGACGCTCCTTACCTCACCTCAACCGGAGATAACTTCACCTAGTGAAGTACAGTACACCAAGAAGGATGAACCATGCTGGTTCACTCCAATCATGAAGTATCTCAAGAAGGGAGAACTCCCAACTGATCCCACTGAAGCAAGGCAGTTAAAAACGAGAGCCGCTCGCTTCGTCATAGTGGGAGAAGAATTGTACAAACGAGGGTTCTCATTCCCCTATCTCAAGTGCCTCGACCCGATCACAACAAATTACGTACTTCGAGAAGTACATGAAGGTATCTGCGGAAATCACTTGAGCGGGAGAACCTTAGCTCTCAAACTTCTAAGGCAAGGTTACTACTGGCCAACAATGCATGAAGACGCAAAGAAATTAGTCCGGAAGTGTAAGCCCTGCCAAGAGCATGCCAATATCCCTCACCTACCAGCAGCATTAATGCAACCAATTGACATCCCCATCCCTTTCGCCTAATGGGGAATGGATTTAGTTGGACCATTCCCGCCCGCCACAAGAGGGCGCAAATTCCTCATTGTAGCAGTGGATTACTTCACCAAATGGGTGGAGGCTGAACCCTTAGCACGCATCCGAGAAGAAGAAGTCATCCAATTCCTATGGAAGAACATTGTGTGTCGCTTTGGGATCCCACGTTCCATTATCTCAGATAATGGAACTCAATTTTGTGTCGACAAAGTAAAGAATTGGTGCCTCGGCTTGGACATCAAACAGTTCTTCACATCCGTAGCCAATCCACAGGCTAACGGCCAGACAGAGGTCACAAATCGCACCATACTCCAACACCTTAAGACAAGGCTTGGAAGTGCCAAAGGGAAGTGGGTGGAAGAATTGCCTAACGCCCTATGGGATTACCGCACAACCCCACGAGCAACAACCAGAGAGTCGCCTTTCAATTTAGCTTTCGGCACAGAGGCTATCGCACCCGTTGAAATTGGGGAACCATCTTGGAGAATCACCAACTATGATCCAGCAACTAATGAAGAAGCTATGCGGGGAAGCCTAGACCTCGTAGATGAGCTACAAGAGATCGCATGCATTCGGTAGCAGATGTACAAATCACGCATCGCCAAGGCCTATAACTCAAAGGTCCGCCCTCGCTCTTTTCAAGTTGGAGATTTAGTACTCCGAAAAGCTGAAGCCTCTCACCACATTGGTAAGCTCGATCCAAAGTGGGAAGGACCATATGAAATCACAAAAGTGGTCAACACTGGAGCATATCGCCTCGAGAACACTGACGGACACCCTATACCCAGAACGTGGAATATAGGGAACCTCAAACGGTTCTACGCTTAAGGTATACATCTACTTTACTTAAGACCCGTTGAAGTCACCATCTATACCCCTCATGCATATATGAAAGTCACTTACAAATTGTTACCCATACAGGCTCCGCGACCTTCCACGTCACTCGTCTTGCAAAACTGTCTCTACATGCTTGGAAACTCTCTACTACATAACGAGGTGGGTAAACATCCTACCTAAACTGGGGGGCTAGTAAAACTATTTACATCAGCAATTCATAATCCCATCTCATCATCTTATTACAGATTGAGAACCAATTACGAGGGGATGCATATTACTCAATCAATGGCCTAAAGAGCGAGGACACTCCACAACACATCGCCAAGGGTAACAATACTTCCACTAGAATACACCACACGCATGCTCTTGAATATTCATACTAACGTGACAAAATCATTCCATCTAACAGGCATGATCACATAGCAACTCCTGACAACTCACAAATTGATTTCATATCTCGGAGTGCGAGGAACAAAAGCAATCCCCGTAGTAGAGTACGTGAAATCGTAGTTCACATCACCCCAACTTCAATTACTAAGTCTTCAGTACAAGTGTTTAAACAAATTTCTTCTTCTCTACTATACTTTGCAGGCATAGAGACGCCAAAGGAATTCAATCCACCTTAGGCACAGCAAAACGAACGAATACATGGAAGACGTGGAAGGAGAACAAGTGTAGTACAATCACTTAGAAGAATTTTTACCGACTCAATTTCTTTGATTTAGTAGTAGTTATTTATCGTCGCCTCACGTAGGCCTAAGACATTAGCAAGTTATTTCCACCCGCCTCACATAGGCTTGTAACAATGCACATTTGCCATCATTGAATAAATCAATTTTTTTATTTTGCTTTACTCTTTGTCCCATTACATTAACACAAGTTACCTCTTACCATGAGTGCAAATCAATACAACCCTATAAACACTTAGAGAGATTTGGATAATCCATATAGCCTGGCCAGCTGGATTGTCTAAGTCCCTTTATTTGTTTCACGAGGTATTACTTTTAAAGCGTGGCCACGGACAAATATATTTAAACCCAAGCGGTCCAAACAATGGGCACGACCCTTAACAAAAACCTTGGGAGATTGATCCCCTCCTCAAGTGCATCGCGTACAACGTTAAATGTTAATACACATGAGCAACGCAAAAATCTTGACAATGTCAAACTAAATAACTAAATATCAAAACTTCAAATTTCAAATAAGGAAGAGATTCAAACGAAATAGTAGAGGACATACCCATCTACATCAGCGATAAAAATAAATTAAGAAATTCTTAGCAAATAATAAATAAAAAAGAATTTAACTATCCTAGCAATTCAGCCTAAACTCCCCCACCACGGGCGGAAGACGCCCCCACAGCGGGGTCATCAGCAAGCATGTCATCCACGAGCTATGTGCCCGTCTCGTTGACTTCTGCCTCATCCTCCTCTTCATCGGATATGCCGTCTTCCATTCCACGAATAACCTTCTCACTGATACCACCCACCTCACGAAGGTATTTGCGACAGGCACGAACTAAGGGCTTGTAGACCACAGCCAAAGAATGCTCCTCAATCATAGTAGCACACTCAACACTACCTCGGAAGCTAAGCTTGGTTTCCTCCACGATGGACTCCTTAAAAGCAGCACCACCTGACGTCGAGAGGAACCTCTTCCCCGTCACCTTCTCAACCTCATATTTCTCTTTGAGCTAGTCATAGCACTCGTTCAACTTCTGAACATCATCTTTATACGCCTCCACATCACCTCGGATAACTTCGAGTTCCTCTGTCCTCTGAGCAAGCTCTTCCGTCCGTTGAGCAAGATCGGACTGCGCTAACTCCAACTAGCTTCGAAGTTCGTCCTCACGCGCCTGACTTCGAGCCCGCTCCTGCTCTTTCCTAGCTTCCATGTTCCCATCTTGCTCCATGAGATATCTCCAAGTCGCCACCAACTATAAAAAAAAAATTATAATAATAATATATAAAATCTTGTTTTCAAAGTACAAATACTCACCCGACATAAGACAAAGAGGAAATAAATATAAATCTTGTTTTAAAAGGACAAGTACTCACCCGACATAAGTCCCCACCAGCCAACTCCAACATGTGAGAAGGGCCCTTACCAGACATCCGAGCGCGGTCGTACTCCCGAACGAATCCCTCGGTACTCAACATCGGCAAATCACGGTCCGCCACATCCCAGTACGACTCCTTCCCTTCGCGATTAACGCCAAAGGTAAACAACTGTTTCCCTGCCCCACCATGGAAAGCATAAGTCTCCTCTGGGGCTACCCATGGACGTTTTGGCACAGCTATGTACTCAGTATCTACCCTCTTTCCCTTGCTACGATCTCTCGTAGGTGCACGCTCTTCCACCTCACCAGCACAGCTACGATCGTCTTCGATCACTCGAGGAGTTTCTACATGGACCGTCTCACGAGGCAAACCACTCGAAGAACCACCCACCGTAGAGAAAACCGTCTTCGACGCCTTATTCGACGCCTTCTTCGACGTCCCATTTGCCTTAGCTCGAAGCACCGCAAAGGTGATACCCCCATCTACAAAAGAAAACAACCACATAAGAGACATGAGGTAAACACAACCAAAGAACTACACCAACAAAAAAAAAAAAAAAAAAACCCCAATCAAGGCACTAAAAGGATATACGGTGCTGACCATTCGCCTTCGGTATCAAACACCTCGGGTCAAATTCCACATCACACAGCCTAGACTCTTCAATCCTCTTCGCCATATTTGCAGTAATCTTGAAAATCTCACACGTAGGCTTCCAAACAAGAGGAACGTCGAAAGAGGGAGCCTTCACATATAAAAAATGCGACTTCCATTCCCCCACGGATAACTTCACACTCTTCAAAGATTGGTAGGGCACGCGAGGATAAACACAAAAGAAAGGCAACTTAGTGGGCCGATGTAGCGTAAATAACGCCTTGAACAGACTCACAGTAACAGGCAAACCTACTCGAGACACTCTATGGTGAAATGCCTCGAACATAAGAACCGCAGTCGGAGTTAGTTGACTATACCCTATCTTGAATTCCTCGCAAATCTTCAACAAGGTCAGATGCGGAGTAATCTGAGAAGTACACGTCACATACGCCAAGAACACCGTGTGAAATCCATCGGGTGGCGAATACAAACGATCGCCCTTCTGAGGCAACAACAACTCGATATTTCTTGGCGCTCCAACTAGACGACGAATAGATTGCAAATGCTCTTCCGTCAATACACTTTCAAAATTAATCAAGTCCAAATTAATTGGCTTAATTTTCTTTTGCCTCCTCGTATCAATCTCAACATCACCCGGCGGAATATCATCTTCTACTTCTACTTCCACAACCGGATCAATTTCGCTAGTTAACTCAACATATTCACTCAACGAACGCGATTGATTAGACTCGTCGCTATCACTCCCAAAATCCACAACTTGACGCCTATAACGACGTCTACTAGACCCAACTTCATCAATAGTGGGGCAAATATTAACATTCGGCTCCAAATCGTCACTCCAAGCACGTACCATCTCGCTAAAACAATGCTCCAAAGGCTCAACGTCCAAGACAACGTCGACCGGCGCATCCGAATAATTCTGCGCGCCAAAACACTCTTCAAAACCCCCTTCACGCGCCCCAGACGCGCCATCCAAGTGACCCGACGCGGGCGCGCGTGCGCTGGAACGCCCAGCACTCGCGCCCGGATTGGGCGGTGCTGCCGACGCGCGCGCGTCCACCTAATCCCCCATCCGATTGTGCCCTCTCCCCTCCCATTCGCGGACGCGCGCGTCCCTACTCTCCCCCGGCCAGCTGACGCGCGCGCGCGTACCTCGGCCATTGTGCCAGACGCGCGCGGCGCTCCCTCTCTGCCTCCTTTCCACGCGCGCGCGCGTCCATCGGCCACTGTGCCCGACGCGCGCGCGCCACCTACCATAGCCGAGCCACTGATTGCCTCGGGCTGCGCACCCTCACCAATACAATAGGTGGTGGCAGCTCGGTCCAAGCCGGCGGCTCTAGCCGAGCCGTCGCTGCCACCAACCTCCTCCTCTCTCCCTCCAATTCGAGCACCTCCTAACGCAGATCCGTTTTTTGCACCCGATACCACAAGTTTCTCGCGTTCCATACCCACCGTACCAAAAGTTTTCTTGCCCCCTTCAACCGGATCTCGAAGTTTAATTCGCAAATAATTCGAATTACCCGGGTTCGACATGAGAAATATTTTTACCCGAACAAGCAATCAAGAACCAAATTTTTTTTTCTACTCTACCGATATAGAATAAAAGAAGAAGAGCACAGAAGAAGACATAAAGTTAAAAATACATACCCATATTTACTACGCAAGAGTTGAAGTTTAATTCTTTCCACCGCAAAAAGAGTCTATTTATCTGGCCCTGGTATATTATTTTAAAACCTTAAATATATACCTCGCTGCCAAATAAATACAATTATCCCTTATTTAATTGAAGAGATCAATTCAACGCCAACGGAAACTATTCAAGCCAAGGCACGATTAACTCTCGACACGAGCCGGATTACCCTAAACATGTCTCCCATCTCGACTCGAGAGTTGGGGGGCTTAATGATATACCTAATTGGGCCGACCATGATATACCTAATTGGGCCGACCCAATGGGCCCCAATTTATCTAATAATCAGGCCCGTTACACGAAAGCCCAATCATTTACAATTGGGCCCACTACACGAAAGCCCAAGCACCTTCAATGTAAGGCTTGGGCCCAACCAAACAAGCCCAACCCAACCAACGACATATAAATAGATGTTTTATTCATTTGTTAAGGTACGTTTTGATTATTCACCAGCAATCTAGAGTTTAATTCTCTCTACCATCTCCACGATCCGTATATCTAGAGTTTAATTCTCTCTACCATCGCAGGGACCTCAGGATCATCAAGTTGTCAAGCTATTGATCTGCTTTGCTCTCCCAGCTCATTTTCTACACTATCCTAGGTGATCTACATTTTAGCATCATCAGAGGCTAAGAAGATTAATTGATTCTATAAAACTTATTCTCCATTTTCAATTACGCAAAATTTATAGAACTTACAACTAATAGCAATATATAAACTAGCCCACTAAACATGCATAACGTGCACTTTCTTTACTAACCGAACATATTCCTAACTCACTAAGCTAATTTACTGCTTTCACTAACTAAAATCATTAAATATAATGCACATATCATTAAACTATTTTCATACATTTTATTTTCACAAGCTTATAGTCATTGATTAATTAGATGAAAGATTTTAATTATTATTCGCTATTTCTTTCCTTTTCATTCGACCTGCATCAGAACTTTATGCATCAGTCTACTCGATATAAGTACAAATAATAGTAATAGAGAGAATATTATATATAAGTAAAAATAATAGTAATAGAGAGAATATTCAATATAAGTAAAAATAATAGTAATAAAGAGAAAAACAAAAAACATAGCAATTATAAACATAATAGTAATAGAGAGAATATTTGATACAAGTAAAAATAATAGTAATAAAGAGAAAAAAAAAATATGTCAAAAAACATTACAATTATAAAAATAATAGTAATAGGGAGAATATTCAATAAGTAAAAATAATAGTAATAAATAGAAAAAATATGTCAAAAAAAAAAAGACAATTTTGTCAAGAGTGGGATTTGAACCCACGCCCTTTCGGACCAGTACCTGAAACTGGCGCCTTAGACCGCTCGGCCATCTTGACTTGTTGTTGTAATTCTAGTCCATACTATATAAGTATAAATATTGTTCTTATTTTACAAACTTCCTTCTCAAAATTTTGCCTCTCAGACCCTCCTCCAGTCAAGAATCCAAATGAACGGCATCAAAATTTGCACATCGAACCACCGTAAATTATTATGTTTCCACCGCAAATTCACATCCTACGCCGCATTACTCGAAAGCCCGATCGAGTCTGCCGGAAAATTTAATGAGTTCGGCCCACTTCACTTTCTCAGCAACCCCAGAGAAATGAGAGGCTCGGCACTTTCAGAAACCAAATTAGCACACGCCCTTTTGCTGAAAAGCAGTGCACTCTACTCTAACATCTACGCCGCCAACAATTTGATCAGCTCTTACTCAGAATGCAGCCACATGGATTGTGCATTCAAGCTGTTCGACGAAATTCCTGACAGGACTTTAGTGACATGGAATTTGATGATTTTGGGGTGTAACAAGAATTTCCTCTTCGACGTTTCTTGGAATGTTTTTCGCCAAATGCACAATGCTGCAGTGTGTATGGATGAGTTTACTTACGGCACTGCCCTTTCTGCTTGCAGTGCTTTGGAGCATGCAAAGCGCGGGGAGCAGATTTATGGGCTCGTTACGAAAAATGGGTTCTTTTCGAATGGGTATGTGAGAACCGGGATGATAGATTTGTTCTCAAGGTGTCGTATGACAGACGACGCGTTGAAGGTATTGTACGAGAATCACTGCGAGAATGTCGTTTGTTGGAATGCTGTTGTATCGGGAGCGGTTAAGAATAAGGACAACTGGCTTGCACTGGAAATCTTCAGTCAAATGTGCCGTCATAGTTCTGTTATACCAAACGCTTTTACGTTTTCCAGTGTCTTAACTGCCTGTGCTGCAGTTGAGGAGCTTAATTTGGGTAGAAATATTCATGGATGCGTGATCAAATCTGGTGTAGGATCGGATATTTTCGTGGGAACATCGATTCTTGATTTCTACGCCAAATCGGGGGCAATGTGTGATGCTATCAAGCAGTTTCGACAAATGCCGATACGCAATGTCGTCTCTTATACTGCCATGATTTCCGGTTTTGTCAAAGAAGGCGATTCGGATTCTGCTGTTCGAATCCTTAACGACATGCGAAAAACGGGACAGGAAATAAACAGTTACACTATATCCGCCGTGCTTGCGGCTTGTGCTAATCCAGCTATGTATACCGAAGCATTACAGATCCATTGCTGGATTTTCAAGAACGGGCTGTGTTTAAATCCGGTAGTGAAAGCTTCTCTAATAAACACGTACTCGAAAATAGGAGCTGTTAATTTATCCGAAAAAGCATTTGCAGAGTCTCGTGAAGTGAAGCAAGTAGGTATATGGGCTAATATGATATCTGCATTTGTTCAGAGCGAATGTTACGAAAAGGCGATTGCTTTATTTCGGAGAATGCTAAGAGAAGGTATTGTGCCCGATAAATTCAGCTTCTCCAGTGTATTAAGCATAATCGACAGTTTATGTTTAGGGAGGCAAGTACATGGTTGTACTATAAAAGCCGGTGCGGTGGCTGAAGTTTCTGTAGGCAGTTCGATTGTCACTATGTATTCGAAATGTGGTGACTTAAACGAGTCTTTAAAAGCGTTTGGGAGTCTTGAAAAGAAAGATAATGTCTCGTGGACGTCCATGATTTCCGGGTTTTCGGACCACGGGTTTCCAGATAAGGCTGTTGAGTTGTTTCGCGAGATGATGGTTTTTCAAGAAAAACCCGTTTTCGATGAAAAGGTTTTAGCTTCTGTAATAAACGCGTGTTCTTCTTTTCATGCCTTGGATTCGGGTAAAGAAATTCATGGATTTGCTATTCGATGTGGGTTTTTTGAGCAGACCACCATTGATGAAGCTCTAGTGAATTTTTACGCGAAATGTGGTGATCTCGATTCGGCAAGGATAATTTTTCTTAAAATGCCTTTCAAAGGTTCGATTTCATGGTCTTCGTTAATTTCGGGGTATTCCCAAAGGGGACTAATTATGGAGGCTTTTCGTCTTTTCCAAGAAATGCTTCTGTCTGATATACGAGTCGACGCCTTCACAATCTCGCCGGTTATTGGTGCTTTTACAATTTCAAATCAAAAATCCGATTTCGGAACTCAATTGCACGCGTATATTGCAAAAATTGGTTTACAATCGGAAGCTTCCGTAGGAAGTTCACTGGTCATGATGTATTCGAAACGTGGAAGCATCGACGATTGTGACAAAGCGTTTCGACAGATTATAAACCCCGATTTGTTTAGCTGGACAACGATGATTGCGAGTTACGCTAATCACGGAAAAGGGTCAAAGGCTTTACAATTATTCGACCTCATGAAGGAATCTGGAATATTCCCCGACGATGTCACCTTCGTCGGTGTTTTATCGGCATGTAGTCACACGGGTTTGGTGGAAGAAGGGTATTTTCATTTGAATTCAATGATAAGGGACTACAAAATCGAGCCGAATATTAAGCATTACGCGTGCATGGTGGATATTCTTGGAAGGGCGGGGAGATTGGACGAAGCGAAGAGGTTTATTACGGAAATGCCCTTGGAGCCGGATGCTCTGGTGTGGGAGACTTTGCTTGCTTTTTGTAGAGTGCATGGGAATTGGGAGATTGGAAAAATGGCGGCCGAGGAGATTAGGAAGTTGAGGGGTTTTGATGAAGGGGTTTCGATTTCGGTTTCGAATATATTTGCAGAAGTTGGAGAGTGGGAAGGTGTCGAGAAAATTAGGGTTTCGATGGAGGAGAGTGGAGTGAAGAAGAAGGAACCTGGTTGGAGTTTTGTATGACTATGTCATAGGTGCAATTTTTTTTTTTTTTTTAATTCAATCGCGGATGTATTTTTTGCGCAAGTGTACGTCTATTTCACTAAAGGAGTCGATTTTTTTAAGTTACGTTTGGCGAAATGTGCATCGAATAGAGATGTATGTTTATGTACACTAGCCAATGTCGATGTATATAATTTTGTATTTTGTGCGTGAATTAATGATGATTGTATGTATATCATCATGTACCGAGGAAAAGGGTCTTTGTCATTGGCGAAAACCGAATTTACATTGCAAAGATATTCTATATTCCGCATTATATTCTTCTATTACATTGTGTGAATTGTCCGTCGTAAATACACTTTACGGAGTTTTACGCCATACGTAGGAGGTACAATACAATAGAAATTTCATCGGGATTTACAAAAAAAAAGAATCGGAAAAAAATTATCCGTTGCTACGGAGAAGAGGCACATAATCGAACATTCTTAAAATCCCATTTCTTCATCATGTAATAAAGGGTTTCTTTCTTCATTTTGACCTGCACAGTTCATTAATAAGACTTACTAAGAAACTAAAGAGAAACGTAACATAATTTAGCCTTGAACGAATACCCAAGTTTCGATTTTACGCAATAAAATATTAAAGTTCAATCCTAACAAGATGCAAAGAAAAAAGAATCATCGAGAAACCAAGTGCCCGTATATATCTACGTGTTCCAAACAAGTTAGCAAAGAAATGCCCAAGTTATACGTATTTTGATGTAAATTCTTGAAATAAACATAAATTATTAAAGTACCTCTTGTTGATCATCTCTTCTTGGCTGTGACACCGTGACTGTGACTGACTGTGACTGTGACTCTAGAGAGATCTCGTCGATACCATTCCATGAAATTTATGTTGCCACAAGTACAGGTCCGAAAAAGTAGAGACGCTGCACAAAATCAATACAATTCCTCTGTTAATGCTTTTGTTATAAATCTGCGCAATGTTCTTTCTATTGTTCAAACACATTCCGATATTTATCTAGAAATTCTCGATCTCGAGCTTGTGCATTCTCTCACAACTAAAAGATTAAGCAAATTATTCAAGATTACTCGACACTTGGCACCCAAAAAATGTATCCATATTCATACTTCCCGACTGAGCAATTTTCCCGCCATGCTCAAATTAAATTCATCAAATGATTTAGGGTAAATTACGGCCAACCCCTGAGGTATGGCCAAATTATGAAAAAACCCCTCTTGTTTGGGAAATTACAGCCACCCCCTCCTTTTCAATAGTTTTACATAAAATTCATGTAATTCGGTTATTTTTCCTTTCGTGATACCTCTCGAGGGGTATTTCTCATAAGATAATACATAGTTGAGGGGGGTGCCTGTAATTACCCAAACAAGATGGGGGGTTTCGTAATTTGACCATAATTCAAGGGGGGTGGCTGTAATTTGCCCAATGATTTAAGTGCACTTTGGCTAATAAATGCCGGCATTACCTGTTCGACCAGCTGCAGAGCAGTTAATAAAATTTCTTCACCATGCAGCGAAATCCTGAAACACCCGAAAAATGTATTACGTTGCCTGAGAATAACAGAATCAAACTAAAATAATAATACGAGATTGAAGACACCATACACGAGCGTTTGTTCTTTATCACCGTCCCGTGATTCGGTCTCCAATACGTACGATTACGCAAGAACCCTTTTTTTAAATAGTTAATTTCAAGACCCGCTAATAATTTTTCTCCTCGTCTTCTTCTTCAATTTCTTATCTCTAACAGCATCGTACAAGAGCTCATACGCGTAGTACGTAATATGCGACTTCTTCAACAAGTCTTCCACAACTATCTTAGGCGCCGCGATTTCTCTCTTATCCGATTCAAAGATTGTGTTCACAACTTCGGGAACGAAACCCTTTTGCACCATAAGGTACACAATCTCAACAGCCTCACTCAGCCTATTCTTCACACACAAACAATTCAACACTCGACCGAATGTCGTGAACGACGGAACAAACCCTTTCGTAACATTTTCAATCAGAAAACGAAACCCCGAATCAATATCTCCAGTCCTGCAAAACCCATCAATCATAGATCGGTAAGTATAATTATCCGGCAAGAATTCATATTTTCCGCCCATTTCTTGAAATAGTTTCGATCCCATTTCCATATTTAGCCTCTCCGAAAACACATTGATCAAAATATTGTAAATCGCTAATGTGGGCGAAATCCCAAAGTGCTTCTCCATTCTACCGAACAAACCATAGGCCTCGTCCACATCCCCGTTTTCACAAAATCCATTTATCAATGTACCGAAAGTTACTATATCCGGACATATACCATTTTGCTGAATTTCATCAAGAAACTCCATAGCTCTAGAAAATTTCCGAGCTTTACATGAGCTCTCGATGAGCATGTTATACGTAATGACATTCGGCACACAACCCTTTTCCCTCATCGCTTTAAAAGTGTCGAAGACATTATCAAGATTCGAACTTTTGCAGAGCCCGTCTAATATAATATTATAAGTGATTATATCCGGGGTAATCTCATGCTCCCACATTGTATCGACAATTTGAAGCGCCTCGCCGATCTTCAACTGTTTGCAATAGCCATCAATCAAAGTATTGAAGGTGAATATATCGGGAAGAAACCCTTTGGTCATAGCATCGTTCATAAGCGTGGTTGCATCGACCAAGCATCCCAATTTACACATGCTATTTATAATTAAATTATACGTCCAAATATCGGGACTGCACCCCTTTTCTTGCATCTCGTTCATCAGCTGCAAAGCCTCGAAAATTAATCCCTGCCTACAAAATCCTTTGATTAAAGTGTTGTACAGAATAACACTCGTCTTTATACCCTTTTCACCAGCTTCATTAAACAGGCTTACGGCCCTCTCTATCTCACCATCCTCACACAATCCATAAATTAACGAGCAGTACGTAAACTCATCGGGCACAAACCCTCGAAACACTGCGTCGAGCAAAACCTTGTCCGCTTTCTGCACCATATTAACTTTGCAATATCCATTAACGATCGTATTGTACGTAAAAGCATCGGGCCTAATACCACTATTCACCATTTTATTCATGTAGTTCTCAGCTTCGATAACTTTCGACTTCTTGCACAAGCCACATATAAGTGTATTATACGTCACAACATCGGGCGAAAGGCCTTCACTCGTCACACTTTCGAACATCTTAGAAGCATGATCAAGAAAGCCCTTTTTGCAAAAACCTTGAATGAAGATATTAAACGTGAACAAATTCGGAACGACCCCTCGTTTAAGAACCTTATCGAGCAGTATCTCACTCTCTTCGATATCCCCCTTTTTACAAAGAACATGTATTAGCTTATTGAATGTAGTAACATCCGGGACAATATCAAGCTCAAGCATCTTATGGAACAACTCATAAGCTTCCATTTTATAATCCCCGTCGTAAAATCCACCAATCACAGTACAGTACGCTACCGAGTTAAACTCGCAGCCCTGAGCTGGCATGTTATATAGCAGCCTCAGAGCAGCGTGGGGCCTACCTGTTCTACAAAACGACTTTATCCTAATCGTATACGTATACACATCGGGTGCAATCCCTTTATCTTTCAGCCGCATATACACTTTGTGGGCCTGATTAAAATGCCCATTTTCCACCAAGATATTCATAATGACGTTGTACGAGAAAAGCGTCGGCTCGCAGCCGTAGAAATCCATCCTTTCGAACACGTCGACGGCTTCTTGAACTTTCCTTCTCTTGCCGTAATTTCTCATGGCACTAATGTACACCCCTTCCAACAAAGTGTTGTCGAGATTCTCCCTCGTCTCGGCTACGATATTCTCCATGGCTTCGAACTCACCGAAAAAACCGAGCTTTTCGACCATGCATTTATAAGTTAACAGATTGTGTTTGTACCCGTCTTCCGTCTTGACGGAACTGAACATTTCAAGGGCTCTTAATGGATCCTTCTGGTATCTTATAACGGCGGCTACGTGTTTTGGAAGTACAGCAGAACTCATTCCCACTTCGAAAATTTGAAAACCTAATCAAGATTTTGGAGCGAAACCCATCGCACCCATTTGAGAATTGGGCTTCAATTTGCAGACTTTAATGGCAGAAAATTTCACCGGAATCATTCTAGACACGCTAATTTCAGAAGAGATTCTTGAACCATAAATTGATATCGAAGTAATTATATGCAAATTCAATAAGTTTTTTACCTTTGGCTGAAGAGGTGTTTTTTTCCCCTTGCTGGGGAAACTCGAATTCGAAGTTTTTAGGATGGGGAATTTGATTTTGGTGAAGTCTAGGGTTTTGCATCAAGAAATTGAAGAATTGGGGTTTTTCATTAAAAATTATGTTTGCTTAAAAAATTTCACCTTCGCATTATTCGAAGTTTTATTTTTAATGTTTTACTTATAATTTTGGTGGTTATTTTCATTTTATTTTGAAAAAACTTTCGAGGGAGTAATTTAAGAATAAAATTAATGTTTATTATATTTTTTGAAGATTATGACTGTACTTTACGTTTTATTGCAATATTTATAGCAAAATACCAAATTAAAAATTTATTTTCCTCCAACATTCAATCTAATTTTAAATGTACAAAGTGCAAAAATAAAAACATTACTCTCAAAATTAATTGAAAGCTAACAAATTATCTAAGCAAAAAGGTCCCATAAAAAATTTCAACAATTTTTTTTTTTATTGAAGAAACAAAATTACTTTTATTAGCAGGCTAGATAGCCAAATGGGGAGGTAAGACAGTTCCCTTCATAGAGTCGGTATATGTAAGATGAGCAATAGTGTGGGCAAATTTATTTCCCATATGCTTAACAAAACTAAAAGAACAGGTAGATAAATCTTGAGCAAGTCATAAACAATCTTCATCCAATGTACCGGAAAATGATAAGTCTCTCTTTCCTCTTTGTAGGGATGTGAGTACTTGAAGACAGTCACCTTCAATTATAACATCAAGCCAACCCTTTGTCACGTGCTATAGTTAATGCTTTGAGAGCCGTCATTACTTCACACTCGACTGGTTTCAGTTTGCCATGAATCTTCACCACTTTCAATCCTAAACAAATCCCCTCCTCGTTTCTTGCTACAGCCCGAACAGTAAAGCTCTCTCCTTCATTCAGAATCGCGGCATCCATGTTTATCTTGACAACGCCTGGTGATGGTGGAACGCAATCGCTTCGATGGACTGTTTGAAGTTTCGGACTTGGCCGAAGTTGTGCATTCTTGAAAACAGCAAGATAGTTCGAACACCATCCCACGAGGTCGTGTGGGTTCATGGCTTCATCTGCTTTAATCTCCTTATTTCGTCTTTCCCAGATCTTCCATGCAAGAACTGACGCAACTAAAAACCGATCCGCGGGCTGATCTTTGTGCATGCTGATTAACCATTGCCAAGCTGTAGTTACTATTCAATAGCAAGGAATTCCAACAGACCTTCACCCCTTGGCACTCAAACAAAACGTGCATGGCTAATTCTTCCTCTCTCTGGCAACACTCGCATAGAGGTGAAAAATACACTTTCCGCCTATATAGTTCCTTGTTGGTTGGAAGAATATTTTTACACAACCGCCATAGGAATATCCTCACTTTAGGTGGAATATCAAGATGCCATATAAACTTCAACTCGCCTGAAATTCCACCACTGTGCGACCCACTTCTGTCGCCCCGCTGCTGATCCAATGAAGTCGACGAGGCAAGAATCATGTGATAGCATGATCTTACCGTAAACTTTCCATTAGGCGAATAATGTCAAATCCACTTATCCTTTGCAAAACCGCACCCCAATGGAATCTCTAAAATCCGGTCAATATCCACCGGCCAGAAAACCCCATTAATAACCTCCAAATTCCATGAATGGGTGGAGTCATCAATGAGATCAGCCACTTTGTTTGGAAAAGCCGAATAGATAGGCCTTTTTGTGATAATTCTGAAATTCCCACCCTATCGATGCCATGGATCTGACCACACGGAAGTGTCATTTCCATCCCCGATTCGCCGTCGTATGCCCATCTTCAGAAAATGAATAACTTGCCAGATGCTCATCCACGTAGAGGAAGGTCGAGACCCTAGCCGCGCTGAGAGGAGTTCGCCTTGAGGGAAGTAGCGAGCGGCTATAATACTTGATAAAAGAACAGTGGGATTTGATAGAATACGCCAAACCTGCTTTGTAACTAATGCCCGATTGAAAGCGCTTAAATCCCGAAAGCCAAAACCACCATCACTTTTGGGTTTACACAATTCCGCCCATGCAAGCCAATTCATTCCCTTTTTTGTGCCATCGCCCCACCAAAACCGACGTATAGCTACCTCCAAATGCCTCACTAAACCAGTCGGTAAAATAAAACATCCCATAACGTATGACGGGATAGCCTGTAGGACCGATTTGATTAGAACTTCCTTTCTTGCTTTGGAAAGTTGCTTCTCAACCCACCCCTTCATTTTAGCACATACTCGGTCGCGGAGATACGCAAATCTCCTTCTTGGTTCGACCAATAGATGTTGGCATGCCCAGATATTTCTCATGCTGCTCCACAACTCTAAAACCAAGGATCTGATGTAGCCCATGTTTCAATTCCTCGGTGGTGGACGGGCTAAACTTCATTGTAGATTTGTCAAAATTTATCTCTTGCCCCGAGACCCGGGCATATTTGAGTAAAATGTGTTTCAAGACCCTAGAATTGGCCTCCGTTGTTTTGCCAAAAATAAGAGTGTCATTGGCAAAGCAAATACTCGTCACCGTAGGGGCTGTTGCTGCCACTCGGACTCCATGAAAAACGCCTCGGTCCGATGCCTTGGTAATCATGGCCGTTAGTGCCTCGGCGCAACAAATAAATAGATACGAAGATAGAGGATCACCTTGTCTGAGGCCCCTCGATGGTTTTACATAGCCAAACTGTGCGCCGTTGAACAAAAAGGAGAATGAAACAGTTGATACACAAAGCATAACAAGGTCAACAAAAACAACCGGAATACCAAAGTGCGAAATAATTTTTTTCAGGAAAAATCATTCAATTTGATCGTATGCTTTACTGATGTCCAATTTAATAGCCATGTAATTAGTTTTTTTACTAGCATTCACCTTAATAAAATGATTTATCTCATAGGCTACCAAAATATTATCAGAGATAAGGCGTTTGGGGACAAAGGCCGACTGAGTGGGAGAGATCAAGTAATCGAGAACCAATTTGAGGCGATTAACTAAGACCTTAGACCCTATTTTATAGATGACATTACAAAGGTTTATGGGTCGCTAGTCCGTTATTTTCTCAGGATCTTTGACCTTTGGAATTAGAACGATATAGGTAAAGTTAAGAGCATAAGGGAGTTTATGGTTATTTAGAAAATCGAGAACACATGAGAGGACATCAGAATCCAAAATGTGCCAATACTTAGAATAAAAAATAACCGGTAAACCATCGGGGCCAGGAGATTTGAGAGGAGCCATTTGAGAAATAGCTTGGGTTACCTCATTTGAAGAGTAGGACATAGACAAGAGTTGACTCGCAGCTCCTGAGATCCGGTTATCCACACTCTCAAGCACCTTCTTTATCTCATCTTCACTCGGGTTCGTAGAGGTGAAAATATGATCGAAATATCCAGAGACGATACGTTCAATATCCACGTCTCTCTCCTTCCAATTCCCCGATGCATCCTTAAGCTTATGAACAATATTGAATCGATTTCAGATAGTCGCTTTGGAATGGAAAAAACGAGTGATTATGTCTCCTTCTTGGATCCATTGAACTCGACTACGTTGCCGCCAGTACATGTCATTGTCCTCGTACGCTTTTTCCAATTCACTCTTAAGCTTTCTTATCTCCTCTTTCCTATCAGCCGTAAGCTCGAGTCCCGTGAGGAATTGCAGCCTTTTCTGGATGTTTTCAATAACCAGCCGTGGTTGTCTCACACTTGTCCGTCGCCATTGAATCAAGGCCAAACGACACTCATCATGTTTTTGGATTAAAGATTCAATCGGGTCATCTGTTGTGCTATTCTGCTAATGTTGTTTAATCACTTCTTCGCAATCTTCTCGTCGCAACCATATAGCTTCAAATCTAAAGGGACGTTTCTTCCTCGGATATCTACCAGCAGGAGGAACGTTGAGTATTAGCTGGATATGGATGTGATCTGACCCTGGGTAGCGGTTCAAATGCACCAACCTAGCATGGGGAAAAGTCGATGTCCAACTACCATTAGCACACGCTCTATCCAATCGATACCGAACTGTACGCGGGGAAGTTTGGTTATTGGTCCAAGTGAATGGTGGACCGTTCGAAGCCCAAGTCGCTCAACCCACGATCCACTAGCGCCTTGTTGGCTGAAAACCTACACGCAAGTGCACGTATCGTACAAGTAATATAGTGGACAATTAAGTCCGGATATCGAACCCACAGAGAATATTTAATTACTTAATCCTAGCCGCTAAATTCTAGCAATTATTATCAAGCCCACCATACACAGTCGACTTTAGAGAGAATGAACTAAATTAAACTAAATTAAAAGGCAAACAAAAACAAGAAAGCAAATAAAACAAAGATTTAATCAAGATTAGCAAGCCTAGGATTTTATTCTCTCCCCTATGTGATTATTATTTCCCCAATTCCTTCAATTATGCAAGCAATTAACCCGGATTATTAACATGAGATGCTAAAATAATCATAACCCGTTTCCGCGTGTATTACGATTCTAATACTCTAGATTCAATTAATATATTCCTATGCAATTAATTCTAGAACACAGCATTAATCACAAATCTCAATAATGGTTACCTAAGAGATTAACTATATTCCTATGTTAATACCACAAAGGCTCTTCTACCACAGTTATAATTATTAACCCGATCTTCCGATTCATGCGATTAACAATAACATAAAAGCACATAAGGTGATCAAATTCATGCACTTAATAAAACAAGTAGGATAAATAATCTGGAATTAAAACTTGCATAAAATTATAGAATTGGGTTCATAAATCCCACATAGGGTTCCATATAAAATCCTAGAAATAAAGACTTAGCTACTCGTGATTCTTATGATAAAGAAAATAAAATAAATAAAT